CGACGGGCTCTGGGTTGTGTGCCCGGGGGCAGCTCATACAGGCCATAGGCGCGGTGGCCGAAGCGGCTTGAAGGCCTGCCGTCCTGCTGGGGCGCCTGGGCAGGCCAGCACATGGAGGGTAAGGAGGTGTAACCTGATCCTGTGCTGGCATACAGCTTGGTTTGAAGCCAGTTTTCATGCTCATAGCCCTCCCTCCCAAAGCCCACATACATGCACCAGTGGCTCATAGCCAGTGTGAACATGAACATGGTATTGCTGGCCGGGCCCGGATGGGCAGGCACCTGTCCATTTGAGATGGACATTTACTGCCGCAGCCATCCCGTCCTCGAGGCCGGATCGGCCAGCACCTGCTGAGTGCCACACTTCGAGGACTCAGTCAGTGAAGTCTATCATCAAGAGTAGCCGAAACAAATACACGGGCGATGGTAAGGGTACTTGTTCGCCCGCTCTGAGTCTGCGCACGAAGCGCCAGGGAGACGCTGGGCATCCTCGATCTCGCCGACACAGTGAACCTGGCCGGGTGAGCCTTCATCTCAATAGCCAGCACAGTTTCCGCTGCAGTCTCTAACGGCAACGGTTTAGTGAGGAGAGGTCGGTGGTGATGCGATCGGTGGTCACGGCGGGGTGCGACGTCTAGGCCATGCAGGGTGCATGCCCTGTGTACGACGAAAGTGCTGACACCAAGGAAGGCCCACAGCCACTCGCACGCCTCATCGTATGGCCAAACTCTGGTGCCATGTCACGGAGGTAGTAGTCCTTCGGCATATATTGCGGCGATTGTGGCTGGATGGCGCGTGCTGTCTGGGGATTGGGCGCAGGCTGCTCAAATGTGCCTCTTGGAGCTGAATTGTCGTCGGCCTGGGAACCACCTGCTGACTGAGAGATATTCAAGCATTCACGCAAAAATACCGCTTGCGCTTGACAGGGTGTGACAGGTCTGTCACCTGCATCTACTCGGAACGTGCTTGAGGTCGACCGGAGAGTATCAAGTGCACACGTGATTTGCGACCTGGGACGCGCTCGAGGGTCCCTCAGCGCGCTCATGCTCACTGTCCACGATCCGCGAGGATACGGGAGGCGACGGTGTCATTTGCAAGATCCTAGAAGCTCAATAAGCTGCTCGTGTCTTGCACGAGCTGGCCTCAATGGTTTGGCCTTGCATCAGGGTTGTGCGGCATGTGTCAGGAGCATCAAGCATCCTCCGGATGCCCGCCACGGACACCTTCACAGCTCCCACTCCGGTTGCACGGAAGAGACAAGATGCCGCTGCACGGTGCCAAGTCCCTCATATTTACGATCAAAGCGCACGAGAGTGACGCAAGGATCTAAGCGTGTAGTCGAGAGAAGGCTGCACCCCACCCACACCGCAGGCACAGAACACCTGCGGGACGGTGAGGTTGCCGCAAGGTGCAAGATGACGTCGACGGTCAGGAGCCCTGCCATCCTGGCTGGACTGGTGCTGCTACTCGCCAGAGTTGCCTTCGCGATGAGCCTGGGTGCACTTGAAGCGATGACGACTCTGCGTCACCCATACCCTTCTTGCCCCTGGTTCACTATCCCACCGCCCTTCCTCCTCGAGAGCAGGCCCCTTGCGGCTCTACGTTCATCGCAATGCCCAGTGCTATGTGAGCTGAGTCCTGTGTCAGTTGGGAGGGGGGGGCTGCGGGGTGGAGGGGCGCAAATGCGTACAGCTCTGACGATGTCCCTAGCCCGTCAACTCCCACCCGCACGTGACGCGCCGGCTTGCGGATATCTCAGTCTCTGTGGGGATCTGCAGACCTCCTCCCTCCGTCAGGCAGACTTGAAAGCGCATTTGTGCCGGATTGATGACGAACGTCTGCATCCGCTCATTGTCTCCATCGTTCCGCACGTGCTCGATTCCTCGCCGTCTGGGAGCCCACGTGTATCTCATGACGGTCGACGACGCAGACGCCATTTGCAGGTGGATAGCGTCTGAGGGTGTGTACACCACAGCCTGTGCTTGCAAGGATGAATCACCATCATTGAAGAACGGGCTATCATGACCACCGTACCTCCCTCACTCTCTGCACGCCCACCTCCCACAATGAGCAGGCATAAGGGCTTCGGCAAGGCAGGGTCCACCCGGACTTCAGACTTCCACATTGTGGGGCTCTCCATGGCAGCCATCCGTGTCAGCAACTTGGAGATCCTGAAATCTGGCGCCACGGTGGTCCTTACCGCCGTGGAGTGC